CAGGCTCCGCCGGCGTCAGCCTAGCGCCTCGGCGGCCGGGGAGTAGGAGAGGAGGCCTCGCGCTCCGCCGGCTAAACGGTCGTTCGGCCTGGTCTGCGTCAGCGAGGGCTTTCAGAGACGCACATCGCGCTTGGCGTGCCTGAGCTAGCGATGCTCCCTTTCCTTGGGTCGTTGTCTTAACGTAGCTTTCTCAGCCATCGGAACAAAAATTTTTTAACTTCGGACAGCTTAATCGTTGCCCTTTCTGCAACGTACTTATTTGCAGAGTTTGACGACGCAGCTAATTTGCTTGCGGCAAACCCTAATGCTACCACAATAAGCATCGATGAGCCAGCCGAAATCCCCAAGAACAAGCATGGCCGTCTGCAACAATCGGGGAGAGAAGAGGATGATGAATTATTGGGGACCGATGACTCCGATAAAACAGAGGTAACGCACTTACACCAGGGATTCGTGCCGGATGATTTAAACTCCGGTTCTTCTCTGTCATAGGTTATTTTCCCAATAGTAGAAGATGGAAGAACGTGCGTTGGCCCATCAGCGGCTGTGGTTTGCTGCCTAGCAAATTGCACTGAAATCAGTGGTGATTTAAGTAAAGCAAATATGCCAGGGTGCGAATGCAGCAGTGCCTGAAAATCCAGCATGTATTTCTGTCAGTTCTGTTGTGGGGTTGGTGACTCTGGCAGGAGAGCAGGAAGCTTTGAAACACCTAGGGCTTGTCTGAAGGCTCAGCTAATGCAGCCAATTGATGATGGAAAGGGGACTTACGATCCTGATAAAGGTGCATGTTACAAACGGGGTGGTGGAAGGTGGTAGGCTATCCAGATGCTCCTTACAACACCAGGCCGGTATTCTGCCTTCAGGGCAAAGAAACTAGATGTTGCAAAAAAAATAACGGAGGGGGAGGGGAAACCACTAAATAATTCGTAAGTACTGGAGGGGGAAGGGGAAACCCATTAAATAATTCATAACAAGCACTAACCAGTATTTCCCTGTTCAGGGAAGTCTGTGTTCTCTCTAAGTACAGAAATTGCATGCTTGTGATGTTTTTCCTTTCGCACCACACAGCTGCTTGCCGGACAGAAGAAAAGTGCCCCTTTCTGGACATTTGAGTACTACCAGACGTTCTTCGATGTGGACACCTACCAGGTTAATAATCTGCTCCAGGGGAAGAGAGCTGTTGTCTGAACTATGCCTTATGCAGGTGTTGACAGTTATGTTGTTGCCTTTTTGCGTTTCCAGCGAGACAAATCTGTATGTTTTCATAGGTCCTGGACAGAATCAAAGGTTCGGTTTTCCCAGTACCGGGGAAGAACTTTGTAAGGCTGTATATCCGCAGCAATCCTGACCTTTATGGTGGGTACGAGGTGTGAGATTCTCTCTTCTTCTGTGCTAAATGTTTTGAGTTTGTAGTCCTTTTTTACCTGCTGACTTTAAGAAACAGGAGGGCTGAAAAGCTGTAGCTGATTTTGTTTTTTTTTTCTTTCTAAGGTCCCTTTTGGATATGTGCCACACTAGTCTTTGCCATTGCTGTTAGTGGCAATCTTTCAAATTTCTTCATCCATCTGGGCAAGCCAACATATCACTATGTGCCCGAGTTCCGAAAAGGTTTGTAAGTACCTGATACAGTTCTGAGGGTTTTTAGTGTGCCATTGAAGTCATATAAAATAGGCCATAGCTTTGATCTAGCAGAGTCTTTTGATTGCTTTCTTTAAATTTGTAGAGATACAAAACGAGTCCATAAAGGAGGATGTAATTGTCAGAGCCCTAATGCTCAGGAGCACAAAGTAGTTACAAAATAGAGTTTTAGCAGAGCAGAAAGTAACAATGAGAGTAATAACAATAAATTGTTTTTCAGTCCTTGCTTTTCTGCCTCTATTTGGCTGTTTATAAAAGAAAAAAAAAAACTGTCAGTAGACCCTTGGCCAGAGATTGTAAGCCTAGCAATGGCCACTGTTGTGCTTTTGTGGACACCTTTATGGATCCATGGACCCCTAGGAGCCTGCAGGCCTCAGACAGAAAATTACTGCATTAGATTATTACTGCACATCACTTACCAAGAGCTAGAGGTTGCTGCCTTCTGGCAAACTCCAAGATAAGCAAAAGATGCTTAGCAGACAGTGTGTTCTAACGCAGTCAAGTCAGGAGCCAATTGCTTACACTTTCTCTTATATTTTGAAGGAGACTGCCATGCCTACAGAGGAACATAGTTTTTGTTTGCTTCCAGAATCCACAGCGTACTTGGCAGAACGCTACCACTTGGGAATCACTTTATTAGTTTCAGATTTGGCACTCATGTGTGCATTCTCTTCACTCTTTTTTTATTTGGTAGCTTTTAGTAGCTGAATTTCTGTTTTTAGCTAAGTTTTCTTTCTTGTTTGGCTCTTCCTAATGCACTGAAACTGATCGCATCTTGTATATAGTTGTAAAAAAAAGAAATTGAAAACAGCAAGAGAATACTTCCTGCACTCTTTACCAGCAGCACTTCAGGTTAGTTCAAAGTAGTGGGTGTGACGAGGGTGTAAGTGCAGAGTTCTCTATTAATAATTAATTGTAAATATTTTCAAAATATAAAATAAGGAGGCTGTCTAGTTTTAGGCTAAATGCTTCAACACATCTGATTCTGGCTGGTATTTTAAGTAGAACGGTAAATCTTTGTCATATTTCCAGTGTCCATAGCAGCGACAACGATTTATGCTTATGCTTGGCTTGTTCCCCTTGCTCTCTGGGGATTCCTGATGTGGAGGAACAGTAAAGTTATGAACATTGTCTCCTACTCGTTCCTGGAGATAGTCTGTGTTTATGGCTACTCCCTCTTCATTTATATTCCCACAGCGGTACGTATGGCCTGAAGAGCGTGTCTGTATTACGTGCCCTGCAAAAAGGTCATGGTTTGAAAGATTTGCTGTTTCTTGTAGGATTGTTCATATTAGTCAACGTCTTGGGGACTGGACAAATCTTTTGCTCCTTTTGCTTGGCTAGAGTAAAGGTTTTTATTCAAGCTTGGCTAGTGTAAAAAGGTCTTGTGGGTACCAGAAAAGCCCAGGGCAGGTCATGTCTCCAGAGGCAGCAAATCCAAGCAGGGGTGCTGGCGAGACTTGCGCACAGCCCACGGCAGCTTTGGGAATGGGGATATGCATCTCCTGGGCTGTGGACGTTGGTGCGTGGGGTGGCAGTGCTAACGGGCAGGCTCTGAAGACGATCCCCTGGCAGGGACCATCCTGGGACACTCTGGCAAGGGGCAGGCTGTGGAGGGAGCGCCCGTAACTCGGGGGACGCGCTCTCGTCACACTCAGGAGTAGAGCTCGTAGCTGCCGTAGTCACTAGAGCTGTTATTCTGATAGATGATACTCTTATCTCAGACAGTAGATGTATACTAGATAAGGCATGAGTTAATTTGCTTGCAGGTTGGCTGGAAGTGATGAAATGTCACAGAACAATGCATTAAATAAATGAGAGTCTGTTTCAGAGAGTCTATTTAACAAGATTTTTCTTCTCTCTGAATAGATTTTATGGATCATTCCACAAAAAGTGGTGCGCTGGGTCCTGGTGATGTTCTCTCTGTGCCTTTCGGGGTCTGTTCTGGTGATGACCTTTTGGCCCGCTGTCAGAGATGATAACCGGAGGATTGCGCTGGCAACTGTTGGGACCATTGTTCTGCTTCATGCCCTGCTGGCTGTTGGCTGCTTGGTATGATACTGCCTTTCCTCTTCTCTAATGTGTCCTGGGACATGCTACAGTCCAGGGAAGGAGGGGTTGGCTGCTTGTTGGAAAATCTTATTTAAAAAAATAAATAAATAAAAAAAAAAAGGTAACCAGAAGACAGTACTTCTGAAAAATCTCCAAAGTAAAATCTCTGAATCTATTTCAAACATAGCAAAAATTGATGCAGATCAGATTTTGATAGTACTGGTAACAAACCCAATAATGAATATGTCTAGCATAGAGTTACTTGCAGAACAGTCTTAAATGTATCTGGAATTTATGATAGTAGCAGCAAGACATTAATCTTTATTGTATGCAGTACCAATGCATTCCAATAAGTACTATGCTTAGTTAATCCTTTAAAATTATTAAATGCTCAATATCTAGGGTATGCTTATCAGTTTTATGTTTGAAAACATAAAACTTGCTGGAACTTAGTAAAATAGCATTATGAAAACAGAAAACCCTAATGCTTCTGAAACACATAATGATGAAAACCCCCCCCCCCCCCCCCCCACTGCACTTTGTTGCACTAAGTAGAATGATACCAGCCAGGCTTCAGTTCCGACCCCCTCCAGCTTCCAGAGCAGATAATTTGGGTTCCCTGCAGCTCAGCATGCAGGGAGTCGAAGGCATAACAAAACTCTTGTGTCAGCAGGAGGCTTGCAACTGACTTCAGTGTGGCTACTGTTACTGTAAACTGCCTGGAGCTTTATCAGTTAAACAGCAAGCAGTCGCATAAATCTCTGCAATTTGTTCCCTTGCAGAACAGGTCTTTTCAAAGGCCTTAGCTGCTAATTGTCATTTTTAATAATACAGCTTAGAGAACCATTTTAACTGACCATTTCCAATCTGCTAAAAATACTTTTTAAAAAAAAAAAAAAAAGCTACATTGGTACCGCCATGAACAGTGGGCATGGAAAAGAAGATCTGGGGGCTGATGAGGCAGAACTGTTTGTTTCTTTTTAAAACATCTTTTTCTGTTTTGTAATAATTTAGGCATACTTTTTTGATGTCCCTGAACCAGATTTTCCTGCACCTATTATCCCTGCTCACAATGGAACAACAGTAATAACAAAGATTCAGTAAATACGGTAAGAATCAAACTTAAACTTTCTTCTGTAGTCATCTAAAAATATAATCCGGTAAGTGTTAGGGAGACAGATGTCTTGAACTTTCCTCCTGAATGTTACTATAGTTGGGTAGAAAAGGATTTAATAGAACAATTTTGCCAAATGGCACTAAATATATACAATATTTATTCTCTTCCAGTTGCAAGTTTTAAATAGAGCCATAAAAACATACAAGATTCTCAGGAACAAAGATACATTAGTGGTGGTTTCCCCCCCCCCCCCAAGGTTTACTCTTAGCAAAGAAATATTCAAATAACATGCCTTTAAATAATCTACTTAGTCTTTTAGGTCATTTCTAAGCTATTTTCCCTCAATTCCTTCAAAAGTCCCAAAGTGTTTATTAGAATATATACTGCACGAATGAAACTTAAAGCAATAGTCAATTCTCCTCCTATTTTCTTTTGCTTTAAGGTTAAGAGTAAATAGGATTTTTCCCTTGATGTTTGTGACTGTATTTCAAGGGAGCAACTCTCTGGGCACAGCGAGATCTGTGTACTCTGCTCAGGGCTGACTCAGTATCTGAGCCATCCATGCAGACCGCGTTCCCTGTGTGGGATGGTTTGAGGGCTTGCTTCCTGGTAGCTGGGAGTACTGCCAGAGGCAGATGACATTTGAATTCTGTTGAAGAGATGAGACATGGAGCAGGTCCAGGAGAAGGCTAATAGACATGCAGAGGCCTGGCTTCTGCAAGCATACCATCCACAAGCATTTATCTGAAAATCAGAGTGGTAGTCTCAGAATACTTACTAACTAGAAGCTGTATTAGATATAAAAAAGAAAATATAGCCAAATATGCCTAGCAAGAACGGTCATAAAAATTTGTCAGCTGAGACACAGTCTAATCATGCAGATCAGTTTTAGAACCTTTCCTCCTGCAGAATCAGTTTCTCATCCCAGATGCCTATTAGGATTCAAAATGAGGGTAATGAATTTCAGGATTTAGATATAAATGTGTGTCTTGCTGCGTCCTCTGGCACCTGTGAGGAGCTGTGACATTCATAGGAGCTATTTGTCTCTTTCAGACTACAATGCCTGATTCTCCATCTGTACAGTAATATTATTTTAGATAATTTTTTCACTGAAGGACTTGAAAATTGTAACAACAGGGGCATTTTCTGTATAAGAAGGGACAGGGATGTGCCATGAACTTACGGACATCTACATGCTTGCTGGAGACTAACTGGTTACACAAGCAGACTGTGTGAACTGTTGATGTTATTCCTGTACAGTGTTTTTTTTTTTTTTTGGTAATTGTTCGTGTCTGCACTCACCACACTTTTGTCTCTAAATAAAATGTTCTAAAACAGGAAACACACTTAATATCCCCCCTCCAAAGTGCTAATGCAGCCTCATTTATGCTGTAGAGATGAAGACCTGCTTTGATGATTTCTGCCCCTGGTGAAAGTGGGGCAGAAATACGATTTTGCTGTGTTACTTTTGACCTGCGTTAAGAGTAGATCAGCCACCACACGCTTCCAGTAGCGAATACCAGCTTGTAAAGCTGTTTATCCCCTCCGGTGCTGTCCCCAGCCCCGCTGCCACTTTTTTCCGTCCCCTCCCCTCCCCTGAGACAACCTCTTCCCCCCTTTGGGGGTTGGGTTAGTTAAAGTTAGAAGTTCCCCTTCGTGCCTTAGGGCAGCATTTACCAGCCCGGCAGGAGCCCAGGGGCGGGGGCGGCCGTAA